GCAGATATTAGTTTTCCTTAAATAATATTCATAAGATCATGAATAAGAGGAGATGAACTGAGACTAGCTCTGCTCTTGTTATAAGCAAATCTGATATTACTTAGGAGGCACATGGTGGCAACAGCAGCTGTGAGTCATTATATTCCTCTCATTCCTTCACACTTCTGTTTTTCACCTTACTTTCTAAGTGGCGAATCAGTCATATTCAGGCTGAGGTCATCAAAATGGGTGGGGCAACACCAGGTTACATTCAAAGTGGGAGCCTAGTTCAAGCTCCAATTTTTCTTTTAATTGGTTACTGTTTTCTGGATTATATAGAAGCTCATATGAATGTTTTAAATGTGGTCTTGACTTCTTCTCTTTTTCCTTCTCAGGGACCATCATTTAGTACCCTTTTGCCAGAGTATACTTCCTTTCTCACATATTATAGTCATGCAAAGAGCCAAATATTAATAATTAATAATAATAAATAAATAATAAAAATTAAAAAGCATGTTAGGCCCACAAGCACCATGTATAAGGTAAATTTATAATACTTTCTCTTAGTAAAATATAAACTTTGGTGGCACAGATGTCTGTTAGAAGGCAGCTCCATAAAAATATAAGAATTTTGTCAGTTTTGTGCATTTAACATATCCCAAGACCCTAAAATCGTGCCTGGCACATAGTAGGTGTTCAATAATACTTGTTAAATAAATGAAGTTTTAAAAAATGCTTGTCCTAATGAACTATTAAGTTTGATCCACTTCATTGGTGTGTTATGAAAAGTGTGTTGATATGTTACATAAAATACATTTTAAAAATGTACTAGTGGAACTCACTATACAATTCTAAAGTAAATTTAAACTGTACAATGAGTAAGTTATACTTCAGATTATGTTATTTTATGATGCTGTATTTCTTTATATTTATCTTACAGAGCTTTACATCCTCATATTGTGCACAGTTTGGATAAGAAGTATATATCTATGTTCTAAAATAAATATAATGTCGCTGAAAATTGTACTGGCTTTCTCTTCTTTAGGTATAGCTTATAGTTAATATCCTCCTTAATGATTTAGCTAAGAAATTTCATCTTTGAAGGAAATGATAAACAATGCAAAAAAAAGCTAAAAGAAAAATAGCATATTGATCTCGGCCTCATGAAAATCAGCTTCAAGATCTCTATAAATAGGCAGCATACATTAAATTAACATATAAACGGTAGGTTTAGGATCTTTCTAATAATTCATATTTCTATTTCTCAGTTGACTTAAATTTGATCAAGTAAAACTCTGGCCATATTTTTATTAATTGGCTCTCCTTTTTTCCAGTAATGCATTTTTTTTCACAATTTTAAGAAAACTGATATTCTCTCAGATTCATGTCTCATCTTTACAGTAGATCCCTCCTTCTCCATGCCAGAAGTAGTCACCTTGATTAAACTTGTTTCCTGGGAGTTCCCAGACCTGGATTATGGTCATCACTGATTCAAACACTCCATTCTTACGAGGATTCTCTTCAGGGCTATTGCTCTCATTTCTTCCTTCCTCTTTGGAGACCACGAACCATCATCCAGCCCCTGTCTCTCCAGAAGCATCTCCTCTCCTGACTGCTCTCTTCATTTTATAAGCATACTTTTGTCTTTGCACCCTAAAAACAAGATCCCTTAATGGACCCAGCATTCTCTATTTTTCCTCTCAAAAGAGTTGCTCAACTCACTGTTTTGACTTCTTCTTCACCTCTAATCTACAACTCAACTTACTGTAAAAAAAAAAAAAAAGGTTCTGTCCCTATATAGTCAAACGATACTGTTCTAAAGTCACTTATAATCCCTTATAAGGCGTTATGTTGCCAAATCCAATTAATACTTGTCCTTATCTTATGTGACCTCTTGGTAGCCCTGACTGCGTTGGACCTCTCCTGCCTTATTGGAGTTCTTTCATCCCATGTTTCCACCACACCTGCTTTACTGAAACACTTTCGCACCTTGCTTTACTGAAAAACTCTCTCATCTCTTCTCTCCTCCTCCTCCTCCTCTTCTTCTTCTTCCTCTTCTTCTTTTTCTTTCCTCTCTTTCTTTCTCCTCTCTTTCTCTCCCTCTTCCTTCCTTCCTTCCTTCTCTCTCTCTTTTTTTTCTTTCCTTCCAGAGTCTTGCTTTGTCACCCCACTGCAGCCCCAACTTCCCGTGCTCAAGTGATCCTCTGCCCTCAGCTCCCTGAGTAGCTTGAACTACAGGCATGAACCACCATGCCTGACTGATTTTTTACATTTTGTTTTATAGAGATGGGCTCTCATTATGTTGCCCAGGCTGGTCTTGAACTCCTGAGCTCAAGCGATCCTTCCATCTTGGTCTCCTAAAGTGCCAGGATTACAGGAGTGAGCCACTGTGACTGGCCTACTGATGCACTTTCTACCAGCTTCACCACTCCTTTTCAGTGAGATGGGTTTTTTTTGTTTGTTTGTTTGTTTTATTTTGCATATCTTCTCACCTTACAATCAAATGTTGATCTCGAGGCTACTGTCCTTGGTCCTGGACTCAACCTACACAATTTCCCTGGGAAAACAAATCAATTCCTATTGTTTTAATGGCTATTTTTTTGCTGATGACTCTCACATTTAAATCTTTAGCCTTCAATTCTCTACTAAACTCCAGACCTCATGTCTCCGGTTGTCCCCTGAATATCTTCTCCACCTACATGTTACTGAGCCTTCCAAAGTCTTAGATCTATTCTCAGTTCTTCTCCTTGGGATGACTGTATTTTACATGTAGGAAGGAAGATGAACTGAATATTTAGTAGCCAGAAGGGCAGATGATGGCACTCCTATATGTTGTTTATTTCTGTTTCTCCTCTTTCTGAACACATGGTAGAATTGCACTTCCTTGCTTTTTGAAACTGGTGTGTCATGTGACTTGTTTTAGCCAGTGAAATGTGTGTCCCTTCTAGGCAGAAACCTCTGAAACCTTGTACTCAAATAATTTTATTCTTTTCTCCTTGTACATTCCAGAGGGAAGAGGCTCCACCAGCTTACATCCTTAAGTGAAGATGATGTAGAGCCGACCTCACACCAACCAAAAATGGATATAGGGCATGAGTGAAAAATAAACCTTTGCTATTTCAAGCCTGTGAGATTTTGGAGTTATTTGTTACCACCAAATAGCCCAGCACATCTGACTGATTTAAGATTCAAAACCAAACTCATTATTTTTTTCCTGCACATCATGAACAGAATAAAACAACACAAGAGAACCTCACCTGCTCTTTATCCTATGCTCCCTGTTTTCTGTGTCTGTGTTTGAGCCATCACCATTTACTCACTTAACCAGGCCAGAAACCTGGGAATATATCCAGACTCCACTTTCAAGTCCACCTACATTTTATGACTCAAGTAATTCTTCAGGTTCTATTTCCTAAGTATCCTTCAAATCCATTGCTTCATCTCCATTCTTAGTGCACATCTTACTATCTCTTGCCCAGACTATTACAGTGGCTGTTTAAATGGACTCCCTGTCTCTAGACTTTCCTAAATCCATTTTCCATATGACTGCCAGAGTGATTTTTATAAAATTCCATTCCACTTTCCTGCTTAAAATCTTTCATCAGTGCTTACAGAATAAAGTCAAAATGACTTAGCATAGCATTTTAGGCTCTTGATAGTCCAAACCCTTTCTATCTCTTCAGCATCTCTGCTCCAGAGATATCCAGTTCCTTTTCCTCCCACTCCTGAACAACCCAGACAATACCATTCTTTGATTAATCCTTCCAAAAATATCAACTTAGATTTGATTTACTCTAAGAAGGCTTTCCTGGTTATCCCAAACAGACTTAATTTCCTCCCACCTATCTGCCTAAAATGCGCTTTTACTATTGAATGTGTCACTTTAATTTTTTTTTTTTTTTTTTTGCTTATGTGTTTATTGTAGTGGCCAGAGTTTGTAATAATTGTAGTCTTCTCAAGGTTAAGAGGAATACCTTACTGTCCTTATCTGGAAAGCACAGTAGTTAGCACATTACAGCCACCTCAAAAAGATCTTTTTTATTTTTTATTTTTATTTTAAGTTCTGTGGTATATGTGCAAGATGTGCAGGTTTGTTACATAGGTAAACATGTGCCATGGTGATTTGCTGCATCTATCAACCCATCACCTAAGTATTAAGCCCAGCATGCATTAGTTATTTTTGCTAATCCTCTCTCTCCTCCCACCCCAACCACTGACGGGCCCAGTGTGTGTTTTTCCCCTGCCTGTGTCCAGGTGTTCTCATTATTCAGCTCCCACTTACAAGTGAGAACATGCAGTAGTTTGGTTTTATGTTCCTACGTTAGTTTGCTGAGGATAATGGCTTCCAGCTTCATCCATGTCCTTGAAAAGGACATGATTTTGTTCCTTTTTATGGCTGCATAGTATTTCGTGTTGTGTATGTACCACATTTTGTTTATCCAGTCTATTACTGATGGGCATTTGGGTTGATTCCCTATCTTTGCTATCGCAAATAGTGCTGCAATGAACACATGCATACAAACATTATGCATGCATCTTCGTAAAATAATGATTGATATTCCTTTGGGTATATACCCAGCAATGGGATTGCTAGGTCAAATGGTATTTCTGGTTCCAGGTCTTCGAGGAATCACCACACCATCTTCCACAATGATTGAACTAATTTACATTATGGAATGGAAATAATAAGACATTTTATCAGAAAGGTTAACATCTGTTAAGGCCTTATTTTTTTACAGAGCTTAAAATCCGTTGAAGGCTTACTATATGTCAGGCACTGCAAAATGCATTCTATAAGCTTTATTTTATTTAGCCTAACAATAGCTGTACGGGATGGAGACATGTGTTAGGTGTCTATCCTTACCGATTTTCTTATCAGAAGCAACCCAAATCTCACCTTCCTGGCAGATAGATCATTATAGGCTCTTAGCTATTATTATAACTAAATTATTTTCCTATGCAGTAGCTGAATGAAGAGCAGAGACAACTATAGTTTACAATCAAGATTTTTGTCTAAACTTTTAAGAGAAAGTCCAGTTTCATTATTTAAAACATTTTGAAAAAAATCATAACATTTATATATCATCTTTCCCTCGATGCATAACACTTTTTACAAAGTTTAGTGGTAGATAAGTGAGGGGTAACTCAAATCAGAGAAACAGGGGTGCAGACATTTGATTAACTTGTCTCACATCATAACTTTTCAAGATTTCATTATCATTCCACAACACCTGCCCTCAAAAAAGAATTTTATAATTACCATTGAGTGACAAAATACCAAGTAGTGATAGAGGTGTATAGACGAACTCAAAAGTCATTGTCGAAGGATACTGATAAAATATTGGGAAAAATCACAAAAGACACGAGAAGATAATTTAGAGTTATATGCGCAAATCACATGACTCCAGTCTCTGGCTCTCTTAGCCAGAACACTGAATCTTTTACAATTTACCTCTTGTTGCCAATAATTTTCTATTATCGTCAGATAATAATAGGCTGGCGTATGAACCTAGTTTACCACACATTTTTTTAAAAACTGACATTCCTTTCTTAAGGAGTCCATCCATTCACTCAATTAAAAAAAATTGTTCCAGGAAGAGGAATTAAGTTCATTCCTTTGAATTCTAGTCTGCATCCCAGCTTTTAGAACAGGGGATGCAGAACCAGTTGATTTGCCACAGGTCAACCAAGTCCTGAGTTTCCAGCGAATCAAGCAATTAACCAGTTACTTGGCCTTTTTGCAGAAATACACAAAACGTGTAGACTCGCTTAATTCCGTCTCCTCTTCACACGGAAATTGGCTGCTCGGGCGAATGTTGTTTTTCACCGCAGCCATGTGTCGAAGGGCGATTAACATTCGCTCGACAAAACCCCATCCCGGGCCATCTGGAAGTTGCACGCGTTCACACCCGGGGCTCAGCCTGGTGCGCCTTCACGCGCAGCCTTTTTGTTTATGCGGTTAGCAGGGGAGAGGGGCGGAGAGGGAGCGAACCTCTCAATGTGCAGCAGGCCGCGAGGGCTATATAAAGCTCGGGTCTCGGACCTGCTGGAACTGGCCAAGATTGCCCGCGAGCTGGCAGCGGCCTTCCGCCAGTCTCCACGGCGCCATGGAGACCGCAAGAGGCGCAAAGGGCACAGAGTGTGGAGCCGCGGCGTCCACGGCCACCGACCGCACTACGCGGCACGCGGCCGCAGACTCCGGGTAGGCTTCTCCGCGCTGCTCTGTGCCTCCCAGCTTCCCCTGTCCCTCCCGCCTGTGCCTCCCCAGCTCCTCCCCTCCACTCTCCATCCCCCACCGCCCGGTGCCAGCGCTCGGCTTCGGTGGATTCTCCCGGGTCTGGGCTCACGTCTCCTCTGCGCGCCTTGTGCTATCCATCCCGCAGATACGCGGGCTTCTGGAGACCCTGGGTGGACGCCGGAGGCGAGAAAGAAGAGGAGACACCGAACCACGCCGCGGAGGCGGTGAGTGAGCCGCGCGTCTCAGGCCGCGCCTCCCACGGGTGCAGAAGATTGACCAGGGCTCTTGGGACGCAGTGCCGGAGAGAGACATGCGAGACACCGGTCCTGCCTCTCGCTTAACATCCTGCCTGCCAGTGGCCATAACGGTGCCGACGCGGCGGATGTGTCCTCTGGAGCGATGTGCCACAGGCACCCAGCCGGGAGCGAGGCTGCTGAGAGCCCTGGGGTTACATTCCCAGCAGTCACGAGGAACACTGGGTCGTGCACATTTCCACTTTCTAGAAGGAGGTGGGTGATAACTAGATTCACTTCCTTTCCTCTTCAGATGCCCGATGGCCCTGGAATGACCGCAGCTTCAGGAAAGCTTTCGCAATTCAGGCACCCAGTCAGGTGAGTGACAGGCCTCCCCAAAGGTCTCCCGCTCCTCCAGCCCCAGGGAGGAGCCAGGGGCATCGCACAGCCCAGCTCCGCAGCTGGTCCTGCAGCCTCTCTCTCTCTGAAAATCTGGCTTCAAGGTTACTTATCTTCTCACTCGCAGAGATCCGTTACTCATCAAATTGAAAAAGGTAAGGGCTCACGGTTTCACGTAAAGGGACCATTGATCAATACATACTCAATGAACTTGATGAATATATTACGAAGAGGGAAAGGGGATGCTATGGTAAAAGAGCGGTGACATCTTGTGCTGGCAAAACAGTTTTTGTTTTTAAATCCTAAAGGGTTCGAATGAAACTGACTTGGCATCAGGCAGTGTGTATGCTGCTTTTGTCTTGCAATCTGGGAGGAAGAATGGGATTAGCAGTTACAGTCTTACAGCAAATGAAGTTTGCCGTGTAGGAGAAAATAGAAATGTAATGAAAATCCTAAAGATTACTGAGGGTGGTTATAGAAAGGGTCAAAAGTTATTTAACATGAGGAGCTAGTTTACTGTTCCTAGCCACTTCAGGAAGTCAGCCTTTATCTAAGATTCTTTGTCACTTTTATCAGGTGAAATGTTAATAATTCTGCAGTTTTCCTGCCTCCTAGAGCTGTTAAATGAAGAGCTGAATGTTTGTAAAGTGCCCGTGGTGATAAATAGCACATAGAATTCATTACATCTAATTTCCTACCATGTACTAGCACTAGTGAAGCATACAGAAAAAAGTCGTCAAAGCACATGGCAAGTGTTGTAATGGAGTTTAGTTTGGTTAGTTTTACAAGTATGGGCATGGCACGAAGTGCCTAAATCTGTGAGTGCTAGGGGGAAGGGTCAGGGAAGTGTATATTATAAGTAGTGGTTACCTGGCTGAGTCTTGGAGAAGTTAATCAGATGAATGGGAAGTGGGAGCAAAAGAAATAGCATTGGAAAAGAGAAGCAGGATCATGAAACAGTGTGGCTCCTTGTGGGAACTCCAAGGAGTTTAGGTGTGTGAAGTTGTGGTCATTTCAGCAGGGTAATCAGATGCCAGATCTTGTACACTCTTGTACAGAGTTTTGTCTTGATCCTGTTTGTGGTGTTGGGAACCCACGGGCTTTATTCCGAAGGTAGTCTTGGGGGTTATACGTTAAATAGGCTTAGGACATCAAAAGTAAAACTGGAAGTTCTGCAATTTTTCAGGTAAGAAATGATGACAAACCATTGTAAGACACGAGAAGTGAGGATGGGACTGGATGAATCTAGGAAATACTTAGATGACAAAATAGATTAGGCTTTATAATGTATTGGATATGGTAGATGAAGAAGAGGTAAAAACCAGAATGGCTCCTAAGTTTGTAGCTGGTGATCAGGTGAATGCTGTACTAAAAGAATGGAAATTAGGGCCGAAAACAGATTTGGGAGGTGAGACCATGAGTCAAGTTTTCCACTTATCATATTTAATGTGCCTATGGGGCATCCAAAGAGTGATATCCAGTAGAGAGCTGCATACGTAAGTTAGGGGCCCAGAGTCAAGATCTTAAGTGGAAATACAGACTTGGGAGTCCGTGGTAAACGTAGGGTGGGGAAATCATGACAGTGGGCCAGGTAATCCTAGTTTGTTTAGAGGGAGGGCTGATGTTCTCAATGAAAACCTGAGGGAAGGCCAGCATCTAACCAGTACACAAAGCAAGAGAGGTCCGCAAAGGAGACTGAGAAGAATCAGAACAGAAAGAAACTCAGAAAAGTATGTGGGCCCTGGGAGAAGAATGGCCCACAGTGAGAAATTCTGGAGAGAGTATCATAATGACTAAACAGCATTCTTTGGGTTTGCCAGTTCCAGTTACCCATTAGAAAATAAATTGTTTCTTACATAAGAAATTCCCTTCTTTTTTGAAGTATGGATACAATTTAATTATGCTTCTCTTACATTTTATTTTTATTCATTTATATTTTGACTAATGTGGTGTGTTTTTTTTTTTATTCAGCTGCAACTTCAGCTGTCAACTTTTTGAGGGTAGGGACCATGATTTATTCATCTTTAAATTGTGAATTATGTTGGCACAAGGGATCACTGAACTATTTATTGAATGACTGAATAATTGATAGTTACTTGTTTAAGTATCAAAAACATAAACTTTTTATGATTTTTGCTGGAAACATTTATGAACTACATTGTTTTTCTGCCTTTTAAAGTGGAGCATACTGAACAAAATGTAATCTTTCATTTGTTGGAATGACTCCACTGTATGAATACATGGGCTGTTTATCCTACACGAAAATGACTGCACTGTACATGGTGATTCAGCCTTATCTCTCCTCTTTCTTTTCCTTGATGAAGACCAGAAGGCAAGATTAGTATTTGTCAGATTTTTGAAATTCTGAGGTAATCATACTTGCATGCCAGTTATTTGTATAAAACATATATAATTTCTCAATATTTCATATGATATTCACAAATGTATTTGAATGAGGAGAAGACAGGCAGATAGAATCAAAGTTGAGGTCAGAAGTAGTCTTTCTATACCTCAAGTTGTGAGTGCATAGACAAAATTTTTAAAATACTGGTTTTTATACATTTCTAAATTTACATTGTCTACTTCTATAAGAGTTATATCTGTGAGTTTTAAGTAAGATAATAGGTAATTTCCACCTTTTTGTAAGGTGCATAATATTTCGTCATCTTTATAAAGCTGGATATCATCAGAGTTTTTAATGTGCTGGTAGAACTCAATTCATTTTTTCCAAAGGAACTTAGAAACTGTAAGACAAATCTTCTATATATTATAAGAATAAATATATCCATAAGGCACAAAGTAAGGTAAACATTGATCTTATGCTTATCCAGGGTTTAGTGTGAATTTGATACAATTTACAGCTTGAAAAAAGAGTGAAAATAATCAAACAGCTATTGATACTTGGGCAAGTAGATTCCATGAAAGCTGTAATAGTAGCATATTTTAACTCTATATCTTAAGGCTATATCCAAATGTATAAGTCAATTGTTAAATATATGGAGCTCTTGAAAATTTGACCATTTCATGAGTTTAAAGATTCTGAATATGAAAAAATAAAACATGTTGTCTGCTTCTTTCAGACTATTTTGGCCAAAATCAAAGTGTTATGATTACTTATATCAAGAAGCAGAAGCTCTTCTGAAAAATTTTCCAATTCAAGCCACAATTTCATTTTATGAAGATTCTGATAGTGAAGATGAAATTGAGGAGCTGACCTGTGAAAATTAATGTGATTAGCTACTTTTGATTATATCCAGAGCTTTTAGGGTTTAAATTTAGTGTACAAATGTATCATAATTATTTTAAGCTAATTTATTTGTATATAAATTATTAATAAAGTGAAATATTTTATAATTAATCTGGTATTTGGCCTTTTTTTATCCCTACACTAGAATTGAATGTTGGAATCTAAAATAGGTGCCATCTACAAATGTCTTGATTGCATTATAAATATTTGGCGCTTACAAAGAATAAATTTTTCTCTTCATTAAATTGCAAATTTATATTTAGTTATAATTTTGCAAAGAATGACAGTATTTAATTCTCAAGACTGAATTTTTTAACATCTGCTATTTCCTACTGAGGCCAGTTGGATGTTGTAGCTACAGATTAGTATTATCTTATTAGATAATGAAGAAAATAGCCTTATGTTAGAAATCACTCATTTATTAGTAAAGATTTTTTAGCAGGTGGAAAAAACACATTAAATCATTATCTGTAATTGAAAAGGGGAATCAATCTTAGGGCTCTTAAATTATAGACATTTTACATAAATGATGAGCAAAGTAACTCTTATGTTAATACTCCTTTTCAGTCCTTAAATCCAGTAGTAAAATAGTATTGATGTTTAATACTTAATGTACTACATCGAGGGATCCCTAGAATTAAAACAAAATGTTTAAATTTGAGTGATTGATATGGAGTCTAAAAAAGTGGAGTCTAAAGGCCAGAAGTTGATAGTATCTTCCATTTCTGTAGGGGAGATAAGAAATTTGGAAAGTATGGAACATTCTTCAACAATATTAACTTATCCTTTTTCTGGTTCTCTGCTTTTGTTATTCTTGTGCAAAAGTTTTCTCATGAGAAGTGAAATAAGTCTCAGTGATTAGTTTTTCTTATGTAGACTCTAGAAGAATATGTCATCATTTAATGAGAGAGAGAGAGAACACTGCAGCAGTTTGCAAGGTCAAAGTAATACAGTTAATTATAGCCATGAGGTTCTTTTAGCTCAAATTCAGTCTTCTTGTAATAAGCATTTCAATTGCAAATAAAAATGGATAGAGGTGAATGTCATAGGTGGCTAACGAGCTAAGAAATGCCTCTTATTTGAATGGCTACATATAGTCATACACTTTTTCTTCTGATTTAAAAGATTCTACAAACATAACCTTGATTTTTAGTCACTTTAAGAACTAAGTAGTTAAACAGAGAAAGTTTAAAGCATGACAATATGTTCAGAGTTAGGAAAAGTTAGTAATTAAAGGAGAATGGAGAGGATTATTTAGAACTATGTTTCTTCTGAAAACTTTCTCCCTTATTGGATTCTACTCTCAAGATCTATGTGCTTCCCAAGGGACATACAAAACAAACAAACAAACAAACAAACAAAAATCAGATTTTGAGCATTAGAGCCTGGTGTTTACCTACAGTGTTTGTCCTTTTCCCATTAATATGTTGGAATAGTACGAACAGCCACTGCCACTTATTCAGTACCTAATATTAACCAGGCACCGCAGTATGTAGTTTACATATGACCCTTTAATCTTTAATAAACCCATTATGCAGATGGGGAAAATGAGACTTTGAGATACTAAAGTAACTTTTATAAGACAGTTCAGTCATTAAGTGCAGAGATGGCATCCAAACCAAATCTGACTTTTAAACTTTACTTCATCACCACAGCTGGAGGTGAGCTGCATCAGTACACAACTCCCAGGGAAGACAGGAAGTTACATAAGGAGGGAGAATTTGTGAGTGGGTGAATAGAGCAGAAGGAGACTTTACTAATGTCTTTCGCGCATTCATCAGTCCTTAGCATGCTTAAAGTTGAGGTTTAAGGATGCTTAAAGGTGAGGTTTTCTTCTTACCCCACAGTAGTGGCTATTGACATTTGATATTTTTGCTCTTAAAGGTGTGAGGTGCTTTTTCCAGTGCAGTCTAGTGCCTTACAGGAAAGAATTTCAGAGAAACTAAAATGCGTTTTTATCCATATTTCAAATAGTGTATTTTATTCCATATTTCAAGTAGTGCGATGGTACTGCTTAACAATGAACACACATTGCTGTTCCGGGTTAGCAGGATTAAGAATTTGTTCCCAGATTCGGTCAGCACCAAGGCTAAGGAACAGCTTCACTCTCTAATCTTTCCACGAAATAGCTGTCACCTTGCTCCGGTGCTGAAGTGCGGGACGCGGAACTAACTGAGCATGCGTACTTCCTCCCTGCCGGCCCTCCCTCCGCCCCGTTGGCTCCGCCCTCCACGGACGTGCTGCGTCATAGCGCGTCTCACCCCTGGCGACCCCGGAAGTGGGTCGGGGGCTTGGCCTCTGCCCGGCCACAGAGCCGGAGCTGGAGGTGCTATCCCGTCCGGCGGCGAACCCCGGGCAGGGCCCGGGGCTGAAGTTTCAAGATGCTGAACGTCCCTTCCCAGTCTTTCCCGGCCCCCAGGTCGCAGCAGCGTGTAGCCTCCGGGGGGCGTAGCAAGGTAAGCGGGTGGCTCCGTGAGTCTCTCCCCTCGCTGCGTTTCGCGCTCCGGCAGTCTGTTCTCTCCTTCCGCTCCAACTCCCAGCTCATGTACACCTCTCTAAGCTGTCGTTCCCTGCTATCCTTGCCTACAACCTCTTTTTGATCCCACTCTGTGTACAGTCCCTAAACTCTCCTTATCTCCCTCCCTTTCCCCTTGTAGCCCCTCTTCTTTCCGGTCCTTTATCTCGCTCTATCTGTTCCCTTCCTCCAAGTCCTTTCCCGCGATTTCAATTTATATGACAGAGCCAGGCACTGTGCTTGCGGTATTATAGGCGCTTGGTATTAGCCCCTTCCCTCAACCTCATCTCTTCGCTGGTCTTTTGTTCTTCACTGCCTGAAGGAGTTGTACCACATCACTCGATGTGGGTTCCCTTGCAGGAGGGAAAGGCTTGGCGGTGGCGATAGTGACCGTCTGTGCGAGGATGGGGGCTTGAGCTGGGGAGCTAGGTCAGGTTTACAGACACTATCCAAGTCATACTGCCTTTCTTTCTTCCCCTGGTACCTGATTGTTTTATCATTGCCTTTTCTACTGTTATCACTTGCTAACTTTGAAGCAAATATAATACTCTTGAGTTTTTGTTGAGCACAGTTGCTGTTAGCAACAGGTGGAATACTGTGCAGATATATTCTGTATTTGCAAAATTCAATAAAAATTGTGTTCTTTGTTCTTTTGCGAATGTTGTTTGTTCCTGTTTATGTGTTAGTTCCTCATTCTGTAACCATATCTTTATCTTTTGTTTGTGACACTTCCACCTACTTGGGCCACTCGGTTAACTCTTGAGTCTTAGCATCATTTGGAACCCTTGTCGATTTTCTTATTTTTCTCCACTTAGACTTGGCGTTCTGATTCTAGTTCAGAATGAATATAGGTTCAGGGATCTGTAGTTTTCATTAGCTTTCCAGAGATTTCTTAAGTACTTTTTATAGGTGGCCATGTATATTTTCAGTGCTTTACATGTATTAACTTTAATCTTCACAATTATCCTGTGAAGTGAAAGCTTTTATTGTCTCTATTTCACAGAAAAGGAAACTGGCTAAGAAATGTTGCCTTAAATTGCTTAGGCTTGTGTTGTGGTTCTGCTGTGAAATTTCATTACTGATTCATATGTCAATCATCTAGCCATCCAGGCATGTATATTTTTCTCACTGGTTTTTGACCTGTTTCTTGAAGCTAAATACTTGATTGAATAACATAGTCTTTCCAGAGAGAATCTCTGAATTAGAATATGAGTTGCTGCCCTTCTTCGTTAAAAATACCAACTATGTTCTTAGCATCCATTTAAAGGAGAAAATTTAGAAGCAAACCAAAAAGTCACACAGATGGCGATGGCAAAGGTGAGTCTTTGGTCCAAAAAGAGAGCACAATAAGATTATTGTGCAATTCTAAGGAAAACGCAGACTCCACTCCTTTTCCCCTTTTCTTTGTGAAACAAGATGATGCTGAGAATGTAAAAACTGAGTCAGGTTTGGATGAAATGGGTAGAAGTTGAGAAAATAGAACCTAGTTGGGAAGGTTGGGAACATGCAGCAGGTTCTCAAATAATGTTGTTTCATTCAACAGCATTAAGTTATAATATCGATGGGAAAAAAAATTCGTTTCACCCGGGGCCACTGTCTTTGGCACACTCTAACTGTGTCTGCATAGGTTTTCTCTGGGTACTCTAGTTTCCTACTACAACCCAAAGATATGCAGGTTAGGTTAATTGATGTGTCTAAACGGTCCCAGTCTGTGTGAATGTTGGGTGTGTATGAGTGTGCCTTGCCGTAGGATGGCATCCTGTCCAGGGTCGATTCCTGCCTTGCGCCCTGAGCTACTGGGATAGGCTCTGACTACCTGTGACATTGAACTGGAATAGTTGGGTAAATAATTATCTTATTGTTTTTTAATTAATCTTTCTTAAATGTATATATAGCTAACATTTCTTTCAGTGTTTAATATTAGAAGTATTTTGGTCTTTATTTAGAAGTCTGGTGATGTTTTTGTGACCAGAAATATGCTGCAGGAACTTTTGTTTATGTCAGTTAACCCACGGTAAAATTAGTTTCGTTGTACATAATTTAGTTTCCAAGTACCTGTTGACCAGCTTAAGTGAGGACTTACTGTAATTTTTTAAAGGCACAGATTTTGAAGTGAGAAAGACCTAGATTCTTTCACCATATCTGCCAGTTAATCTCTTTGAGTCTGTTTCCTCAGATGTAAATGAGAATAACAGTACCCATATTATAGGATTGTTCATAGGATTCAATGAGGTAATGTTTCTCTTAGCACAGCCTTGGTAAGCACTCAGTAAATGCCACTTGTCCTGAGGCTTTTATTTAGATCTCACAGACTTGAGTGTGACACAGAATATGCACTCAACATATGATAGTGATTATTTCTATTAATACCACTGAACAAATACTTATTGAGAACCTACTATATGCTGGAGTTTGTGGTCTCTGATTTCACGGTGTTTAGTCTCATAGGTTGCACGAAATAGTAAACATTCAGTTATAATGTCATAAGTACTACAATAGGGTGTTATGACCACAAAGAGTTGAGGATCAAAGAAGCCTTCCAGAGGAATTAATGGGAGTTGGGGTGAGGTTGATCCCTGCAGAGGAAGCAACACTACCATAAGCAAGTACTTGACAGCAATCATGGAGTCAAATAATCAGTTCCCATTTGGCCAAGTATATAATGGAGAAGAGCAAAAGTTAGAACGTGGAGCTAGTGCAGTCAACTGTGACCAGATTGTGAAGACCTGGTAAATCCCTAGGGAATTATTATAAGGTGACCTGAGGAGCCACTGAGGGAGGGAGAACCTTTGATTAGATTTGCATTTCGGAAAGCTTGCTTTAACTATCCTGTGGATTATGGAATAGAGAGAGGTGAGTGATTTTCGTGTGGGATGGGAAAGGTCATTTTCTCACACTTCATTTATTGGGATCAAATGACCTAGAGTTTCAGTGATAGCCAGAATGGAATGATGTAGATTGATAGGATGGAATGTGAAAGGCACCACAGACCCATTAACTTGGTTAGTTTGGGAGTAAATGGATATCTAAAATAGGTGTGATTCAGATAAGTGAAATATGTAAACGTCCTTGAATGTGTCTGCTTTTACATTAAACATTCTTCTGTGACTACATTACAAATTAGTCAGACAAGCTTAGTTCCATAGAGATATCTTGAAAATGTTCTGGTCAAAGTACTAATAATACTTCTCATCTGAAAACACTGAAAATGTGTTTTATAAAACAAAATAAAAACCCAAACCATCCTGTTATTAAGTTCCCTGGGCAAGGGGCCTCATAAGGTTTCAGGCTCTTTACCATCACATGCAAAGTCAATTCTTTGCTCAAGGGCTGTATAGAAACAGGTGCAGGCCATAGTTTGCCACCCCTTCCCTACAGTGTTATTTTCCATTATTTGATAAACTTTGTTACTCAATGGATTCTTAGATAAGATTGCTATCTAATGATTTCTAAAAGTCTGTTTATATTGACAGTTCAGAAAATCAACTATAGTTAATTGTTTCTTTATCTTTTCTTCTGTCAAATCTCTTTTGATTTTTAAGGTGAAGAAATTTTGGTCCAAACTGGTGACTGTAACATATTAATGTCAGAGCCAGGACCAGAACCTGTTTTCTGGTTTCTGGTTCAATATCATTCCTGTTATATGGTCAGCCCTGTGTAGCCCTGTTTTCTGACTCCAAGGATTGAACCAACTGTGGATCAAAAATATTTGGGAAAAAAAAAGTTAAAAAGAACAATACAACAATAAAAAAAAAAGGACTTATAAAATAATATAATACAACAGCCATTTACATAGCATTTACTTTGCTTTAGGTATTATTAGTAATCTAGAGATTATTTAAAGTATATGGGAGGATGTTCATAGTTATATGTCAGTACTTTGACATTTTATATGAGACACTTGAGCATCTGGATTTTGATATAGGGTAGGGGGAAGTCCTGGGACCAGTCCCCTGTGGATACTGATGGACTGCTGTACTGTGACATCAATATGGTGAAAATTTGTGTGATAGAATTTCTAAGCCCTACCTTTTATAATTCAAATACAGCATAAACAATATTGACAGCCTCTTAAAGCTGTAAAAGGATTTATAGAATTGTTAGATTTGAGTTTTATTATCTTTTAAAATGGAATTAAAAGTAATGAAGAAGCTAGATTTAATTCTTTCTTTTTCCATTTTTAGGTACCTTTAAAACAGGGCAGAAGCCTTATGGATTGGATTCGCCTGACCAAAAGTGGAAAGGATCTAACAGGATTAAAAGGCAGGTTAATTGAAGTAACTGAAGAAGAACTTAAGAAACACAACAAAAAAGATGATTGTTGGATATGCATAAGAGGTAGGTGGTATTTATTAAGTCCTTCAAAAAATGTTGACTGAACTTTCCAATTATGATGCTATATAACCTCATAGTCATGTTATTTTAAACAATTGACAATTATTTAACAAAAATATGTCCTGTGCTTGACAACAATTTATATAATTCTGACTTTGGATAGTATTTCTTCCTTAAGTAACCATTATATTCTGATGCAGAAAACAGTGAACTTCTGATATGAAAAAGTTTTTCTTGCTTCCTTGTACTGCATTTCCTTTGAAAGGAAACAAGCATTTGCCAGGCAATATAGTACAAAATTATTTGGTAAAATCTAGTTTATGTAGCAATAACTTTCTGTCTCAGAGCCTTATAACAGAATTCTGTTGGAAAAAAAAAAAAAATCTCTGAGAATCTAAAGTAAACCTGAAAGTCTTGCATTAAAATCAGATCTTCAGTTTTCACTTGCAGCAATTTTTGTTACATGGTGTATGTTTCTTAGCAATATTAGTTACTTGATTTTGTTTAGCTCAGAGTATTAGAAACTCCAAATTTGATATAAATGTATTGAAGGAGGTGAGCAGACAGACAAGAGGGTAGCTGATACAAGCTGACTTTGTAGTAGCCAACTACCTGACATCTAGTAGGGGAACAAAAATAAAAATGAAGGGCATCCAATTATACCATGAGGCTCCATACATGGTTAACTGTGTTTACCATCTGTTTAGAGAGGAAGGGAAATACATCATTTTTGTTCTTAGTGCAATTGTAATTTTATCACTGTGTAATTTTGGTTTGTTGTCAGTTATCCTGACTACACTATAACCTGTATGAGGGCAGGGACATTGTCGGTCTTACTGCTCTGTCACTAGTGGCTGGCACATAGAGGCCATTGACTTGTATTTGTTCAACGAGTATAATACTTTTAAGAAGTATGGTTACTTAAAGAGGTGTCTGGTGGTTTTCACAGTGGATTGGTGATATCAACAGATATCAACACCAGTAAATGCTAAATTAATTTTCTATGAATCCCGTAACAAAGGACCACAAACTAGGTGGCTTAAACAACAGAAATTTGTCTCATAGTTCTTGATGGCTAGAAGTCTGTGATCAAGGTGTCAGCAGGGTTGGTTCCTTCTGAGGACTGAGTAACAATTTGTTCCATGCCTCTCACCTAGCTTCTGGTGGTTTGCTGGCAATCTTTGGAGTTTCTTGGCTTATAGAGCATTACCCTAATATCTGACTTCATCTTCACATGACATATTCCCTATGTGCTTGTCTGTGGTCAGATTTTCTGTTTTTATATGGGCGCTAGTCCTACTCAATTAGGGACCTCCCCTACTCCAGTGTGACCTCATATAATTTTGCATCTGCAACAACCCTATATCCAAATAAGGTCATATTCTGAGCTACTGATGGTTAGGACTTCAGCCTATGAATTTGGGGGGACACAGTTCAACCCATAACAGACACAATTAGAGTGTGAAATTTTCAGTGGCAAAGGGTATGGAAACTTCCAGCAGGTGATGACATAGTTTGTATTGAGACATAATAGGTGTTCAACTACCCAAAGTTCCTCAGAGACATACAAATGTGAATGGTACCAACAATCTGGAATGAGGATTCTGGCAGGTGCAAAAAGATCTTTTTGACATTTTATAGGGTTTTTGCCACCCTCTTTATCCTTCCTTCCTGCTCCCTACCTGTTTACCAGCTGCAAGTAACTGGTACAAAATGACTTCCCCATTGTGCCTGAGTGTTTTCCACTAGATAGGAGGAAGTCAAGATTAGCTTCCCAAGAACACCTTTCAGCTGGCCTAGGCTGCAGGCATGCCTGAGTTCTGTTTCTGCACTAAGAAACCACTTATTCAAAAATTCAATTATGTGAACCTCTCATGTCCTAGTGATATTAGATAATTGAGGCATTATTAGAATATAGTTAGACTTTATTATTCATATGATGTATTGATGGGGACAAGGGACTGGATTGCTGTGTTTGAAAAGTAATACAGGTTGAATATCCCTTATCCAAAATGCTTGGGATCAGAAGTATTTTGAATTTGGGATTTTTTCAAATTTTGGAATATTTGCATTATATACTTACTGGTTGAGCATCCCAAATCCAAAGACTGGAAATCTAAAAGGCTCTATTGAGTGTTTCTATTAAATATGTTGGAGCTCAAAAAGTTTCAGATTTTGGAGCATTTCAGATTTATGAATTTGGGATACTCAACCTCTACACTGCTCCCAGTTCCATATCCTCTGTAATAATTTGAACATATAGCATTTTGTGTGATAAGGTTGTTGATTTAATCATGAATTTTTTTTTTTTTTTTTTTTTTAAAGGAGATAGGATCTCGCTTTGTCCCCTAGGCTGGAGTGCAGTGGCTCCATCTTGGCTCACTGTGTCCTTGACCTCCTGGGCTCAAGTAATCCTCCTGTCTCACCCTTCTAAGTAGCTAGGATGACAAGTGTGCACCACCATGCCCAGCTGTTTATTTTTTATATTTTTCTAGAGATAGGGGCTTGCTCTGTTGCCCAGGCTGGTCTTGAACTCCAGGTCTCAAGCAGTCCTCCTGCCTCAGCCTCACAAAGTGCTGGGATTGCAGGCATGAGCTGCCATACCTGGCCATGAATTTTTTAGAAGTTTCTTCTGGGGAACATGTTCTACTCTATTAACAGTAAGACATTTTCCCCTCTTGGTAGAAATAAGATGTGTCTTTTTTATCTTTTTGACAGTTTGGTCTTTTATTTTATCAAGAAACACTCAGTTTAGACCTTGCTGATGGAGGAAGGATAAATGACTATTAGCAGGCAGAGTGAAGCTCCTTAAGAGGGCTACAAAGTATAAGTGATACCAGACTGTTGAAAGGGAGACACATGAGTTAGGAAAATCAGGGATGCTTTTGTGGTAGAGATAAGCCTTGAAGCAGTAGGCAGGATTTCAACAGGAAATGAGGAAGTGCACTCAGATGGAAGGAAAGGCCTGAACAAAGGAACAAAAACAGGAAAGTTTGAGGTGTTCTGGAGCTTAGGTTAATTGTTGGAGAATTATAAGAAAGAAGGCTGGAAAGGTGTGTTAGGTCAGATTGTGGACAACCTTGAAAGCCAGACTGGGAAATGTGTTCCTCATATAGATGGCAGTGTGTACTCTTGAAGGGATTTGAATGTGGGGACAGTGTTGTAAGAGTATGCCTTCTAAAGATTAATCTGGTGGTAGGTGTGGTGAATTGAAATGGGATAAGGAAAGCATTTATTTTCTTACAGAAGTTCAGATGATAACAGGAGGTGAACCAGGATGTTGACAAAGGTCATGGAATAACAAGGTGAATGTGAGACAGACAGATTACTGGTAACTTCTAACATGATCCCAAATGAAACTAAAAATACATGTGTGAGGGAAATGGCTCTGCTTTAGTCAGGAGTAGGCCTAAGCGGCCTTTCTGCACAGCATGACTCAGCGGGTTTGGAGCGCAGGCACACAACGTCGCACATTATGTAACCATGCTGTGTGAGCTTGTGCTTGGCTCTGAGTCACTATTGTCTGTAAAAAGTATAATTGCCCTGCTTAACGCTGTACATACAGCTTGCTCGCACCCAGAGAGAGAGTAAAGCCATGTTGAAACTCTCTACGATTCCTTGCGTGTTTTTCCAGCTACCTACCACTTGCCCACTCACTCCCCTCAGACCTCAGAACCTGACAATATGACTAAACAAAGGTATCTTTTTCTTCACAGCTGTTCTAATTTAAAATATTAATGATAGCTTCTTAATGGAGGAATGTGTGTGCCAACTTTAGTCTTGAAGGTCAGAGATAGTGTTTGGACCAAAGTTTTAATCAAAACTGTGCCACAGGGAAGCATGGTATGATAGTGCCATTTTTTTTTTTCCTTTTTTAAAGTACTAATTCCTTCATTTTGTGACAACTGCCCCATTTTTAGATTAGGTCTGAATTCAACTGATCACAATGTGGGAGACACAATCAGTTTCTTTAGGAAGTCTTAGAAAATACACAATTTGGTGTGGGTTTTTATGGCTAATATTTTGGAGACTATTTTCTCTTTTTGAATAAGTAGCAGCATTTCTGCTTCATGTTCAGGTGTGCTGAGCCTGGTCACATACCTTAAAATGATGGTATAAAAACAGCACTTGGCTGACAGTGGGATGTAAAAAACGAGCATCAGTTTGGAATGATCTCTAAGACGTGTATTGAGTTCCTAATTTGTTCATTTAATTTTCACCATTTTCTGTAAAGTATGTAATTATTGTAAAGCAGTAGTAGTTAATTGGAATGCCGAAGAAATGGGATGGTAGGGGAATTACTGCTTTTTAAAAAAACTTGTCGAATTTACCATTAATACATGCTTTTATATTTTTCTCTTTTACTGTTGTTTCAAGTCCCTTTCTCAAGAACTAAAGATTTACAAACATGTAAAGTGTTGAGCAAGTGGGTAAATCACTCATCTGAGAGTTCTCCTGTCAAGCGTAGATCAGACTGTTTTTACTGTAGTATGATACATTTTATTATAGTATAGTCAGTGTTAGTAATGATGCATTAAGTAGTGAAATCATCATTTGGGCAGCATGGTTCAGCATTTTATCTTAGTGAGGATGAGGGAAGTGTGGCTTGATACTCAATAACAGTCTATTTGAATAAATGGTATTTCAAAAAAAGTTGACTACCGCCAAAGGACTAGTGTCTCTGTTGCTAAAAATTTAGCAGATTAGGTTCTCCAAATGATATTTTATGGATTTCACTTATTTAGAAATGAACGTATTTTGATTTCTCCTTAAGCTGATTGTCATATACTAGTAAATTGAAGAGGCCTGCTTGATGCCTCTGTGAAAGTGGCTTATAATGGGTCTGTTTTTTTAATTTCATAACTGTTTTTTAAAACTTGTGAAGTGGATCCTAAGAAGTAGTATTTAGTCCTGTTATATTTCCATTACAGTTATTTAGATTTTTGAGTTCATGTACAACAAACCTTTTAAAATTTACTCATAGGATGGTAGTGTAAATGTTT